GGGGGCTCCGGTGGAAATCACCGACACCGGTAACGATGAGGGCCTGCAGCGGGCCCTGCAATTCGCCATGGCGGAGTACAACAAGGCCAGCAACGACATGTACTCCAGCCGGGTGGTGCGGATCATCAGCGCCAAGAAGCAGGTGGGTGCCGGGGCGGGCTTGTAAGCGGCGGCGGCCGGGTGGGCCCCGGGCCGGGGGCGTTAGGGTCGGCCCTGGCAGCCTCCGGGGGGCGGCTGCGAATGAGGCCTGTGGGGTCTCCTTGGAGAAGGAGCAGGCCTCAAGCTCGAGGGGTTGTTCAGGCTGTTTTTTTCCCACAGAAGGTGAATAAAAGCCTTTTTTTTTTTTTTATAGCTTGGGTCTTGTCAATCTGAATGCTCTTGAGTGCTGTGTGTTACTGAAGAGGCTAGTAACTTCCTTAGGCTGCTGATGAATTAACGCATGTCTCTGTTTACTGACTAAGGAAGCTGTGCTGTGAGACTTGTTTACTGGGATTTTGTTTCCTGTTTTTGAAAGGGTGCCAAGTGTCTCTTCTGTGGAGGTTGCCACACACAGTCCTCTCTGTACTTTTGGAGTCTGGCTTCCATCATGTAACCAGAAAACTGTCTGCCTTTCTGCTCGGCCTCTCTTGTCAGAGAGCCATTCTATACTGCAAATAAAGCTGCTTTTGCTTGTTTGTCTTGTTGCAGATTGTGGCTGGAATCAAGTACATAATGAAAGTCGAGATTGGCCGGACAACTTGCCCAAAGCCAGCGACTGATCTCCAGAGCTGTGCTTTCCATGACGTGCCACAGATGGCTAAGGTAGGCTCCAGAGCACAGTGTGCTGGCCCCTGGGTTTCCAGCCCCTTCCCTCTGGCTGGCTTAGTGCAGAGAAAACCCCCTGGGTTTTCAACCCCTTCCCCTGTCTGCCCCAGCCAAGATCAGAGATCTCATGCTTTTATGCTTAACAAGATACTGCCCTTGCAGAACTTGTCTTGCTAGATGGTGGTGACAGAGAAGGCAGGGCCTTCTAGCCTGCTCTGTAAGTGGGGATCTCGATCCTCTTAAAAAGCGTGTGTGCGCCTCAATCCTCTTAAAAAGTGCTTGTGGTCCAGATCACAAAGATACATGGAGGAAACTCTGCCAAGCCTACAGGTCTCCTGGCTCTCAGTCCAGTGTCCTGAGTCCCCATACCATTCGTGGCTCCTCTTGTCCCATGGTGATGTAAACACGCTTGACTTGATACACTGTCCTGGGGGACCTTACTGTGAATGGTGCTTTAGGCTAAGCAATGATCCCAAGAGGCAGATGACCTCTGTTCTCTCTGCCCACCAAGCTGTTACATGGGAGTTTTGTCTAATAGCAGTGCTCTTTAAGGAGTACTTTAGCTTTTCAGATGAGAGCACCAAATATGTCTGCCTTGATCTGGCCTGAGTCTAGTTCTTCCCTAGTACTTTATTACTTCTGTTAATTGCAGCGATAGGCTTAACTTCTTTCTGTACGTGCCCTTTGTGCCTGCATGTTTGAGAAGTAAACTGCACACAAGTAATCCCTTAAGCACCTAGCTAGAAGCTTATGTGTACCATTATGACAGCTGCAATGATTTGACACATGCACATACAGATTAGCTGTGCAGGTGTGCTTACCTGTGCCTGAGAGCTTGTATTGGCATATTACCCATGCCAAAAGCTTTCCTCTGTGTGAATGGGTGAAGGAGGTAACCTGATCTTCATAAGTGCTGACTGCTCAGCTTCTCTGTTAGTGTTCATTGGAGAGATGATCCATCCTGAGCAGGTACTAACATGAGTGGTGTTCCAGAATACTGGGCAGGAGAGTGCAAACCTCGAGAGCCACGGAAGTGGCATATGTTCTGGACAATGTGGGGTAGTAAATCAGTGTAGAACAATGGTCAGTGACACTGTTTTATGCTCTTAAGCTGATAACTGCTTTTTTCTTTTTCTCCTTAGCATGCCATTTGCAACTTTGTAGTGTACGTTATTCCTTGGCAAAACGAAACTAAACTACTGGAGTCTAGATGCCAATAAACCTACCTGGCTTCCAGCAGAGACCAGCAACCAGTTGCTTAGATTTAAAAAAAAAAAAAGGCAATAACACAAATAAAGATGGGCTTTATCAATGCCTGTTAACTCAGCTACTTATGTATGCTTGTGCTATGCAAGTTAAACTATGTAACTTTCCTTAAAGCACAGTATGATCTCACCTTTGTTTTTCTTTGTAATCACATTTTAGAGCAGCTGTTTTGGTCTTCCTACAGCTTTCCCAATAAAGTAACTCCAACACTAGAGTTCTGATTTTAAAAAAAACTTGATATCCCTGTTAAGTGACTACTGTAAACATAAAAAACTTAATTAATAATTGCTGTGATCTGTGGTTTTCTTTGGGCTTCTGCTGTCTTGGAGGGAGGGTTTGCTTCTATTTGGGACCTTGTCTATCATGCCCAAAGAATGGGGTGAGAAGGAATGTGGGGTCCTGATCCCAGGGAAGAGAAACCATTATCCTTGTCCTGGCCTCTGGTTTTGAGTAAGAGATGGAAGTCTGTGGCTGTTTTCACTGAAGAAACACTACTTTTGAAAACACTGCAGTATGCAGCACTTGATGTTGGGGAAGATTAGCCAAAGCTTGTGCTATGGCTGTGGTCATTTCAGGTCCTGGCTGCTATACTGTTCTGTTCTAAGGCTGCGTGTGTTTATGCAGCTGTGCTGTGTAAGAATTAACTGCGCCAATGTCTTCCTGCACGGCCTTTGAGGTGCTTTAGGAACCCTTGCTTCCTGTGGCGTCTGGCCCTTGCAGGTAGTATCCCCAGCTTTTTCTGAGCAGAAAGCCCCAGGGCTTTCCTTGCAGTCCAAGCAGTAGTGTGCATCACTTCGGTTATGACCTAAATGATGACTGGTGGAGCTGGAGAAGCAGCTGCTTTGGCATGTGTGCCTAACCGGTGACACCTTCCCTTTACAAGCAGAGATGGGTGCGGAAATGCCTGGAGCGGGTCAGTGTCCCTCCCTGTCCTGGGGGGAGACTGAACTATGCTCTGGCTGTGTATTAACTGGGGGGAATTTGTATGATGTCTGATCTGGGCAAATCTTTTTAAATCAGCAGGCAGAGAGGATCAGCACCCGAGAACTCTTAAGAGAACTGGGAGAGGTGTTTCCTCGTGAACTGCGATTAATTTGTATTGCAGGGAAATTGGGGATGCTGTGCCTGCGTGGGACCCCGATACCCATAACCTATTTAGCCTGAGGACAGCCTAGTGCAAAAACAACAGGAGAGGTAGTAATTGGTGTTAAGTGGATAACTAAGAAAGAAAGAAATGTTGTTATCAGCTGGTGTAGTTTTATAGCAAATGGGTGTTGTCCACAAAACCTGGCTTTGTTCTCTGAGTGTGAATGTTGCCCAGAAGCAACCCTCTAAATCCAAGTGCATGTACGAGACTGGTGGGGTCTTTCACTCAGTCAAGCGCATTGCTGCTAGTTGCAGTAAGTATGGCACCATGTTTGGGGTTGGTGTGACCACCACAGGGA